TTTTTTTTTTTCTTTTTTTTTTTTTTATCCTTTTTTTATATTTTTTTTCTTTTTTTATTTTTTTTCGTTTTTTTTTTTATTTATTTTTTTTCGTTTTTTTTTTCAGGGTAAATCAATAAAATTGGTGAATAATATTGTTACTTTATATGATAAAAAAAAAAAAAAAAAAAATCAAGATATCCATTCTGACCAAGCATTTAAAAAATTATTGCTGAAAGGCAAATGAAACGAGAGCTTCCAATAAATCATCGAATAATTCCAATAAATTTCACTTTGCTGATAGATCCTCCGCTGGATGGATAATGCGTCCACCAAACTCAAATTCAAGCGTTTCATTATCCATGATTTCCTCATTATCTACATGATTCTCAGCATCTAACATATCAATCCAATTCTCAATTACGCGAGACCAGTAATCTTCAGGATCATCGACTATATCATCGTTAATTGTTTCAGGATCTTCACTTTCTTCAGCTGCCAGATTATTGATAGTTGATGGGTAAATTTCATTGTTGCTTGTGGAAGGTAAAGGTTCTGATACTTCTTGCATTCTATCTTCTTCATAGGGCTGAACAGGAGCTACATGACAAATTCGTTTGTATTGAATTTCAGCCTTTTCAATTTCCTCACATTTTCTCTTGCTTAATATGCTACTATGCAATTGACTCATCGCTAGTACTTTTTCAAACTTAATTTAAATAAATAGTAAAATAAAATTAAAAATGAATATATTATAAAAACATATATGAATGACGAAAGGGGAAAACAATCCTGAAATCACTGACATTCACTAGGACGAATTTAGCACCTAAAAATTCTGATCCCACATGATTAGCTCTAGTATGTATTCCAGTTAATTTCAGTAATAAATTTATATAATAAATTATTTGACATTGAGGGATCAGAATTTAAGTTCGCCTCAGTAAATGTTTGTGATTTGTTTACAGGTTTTTTCCTTTCTATTACTCATATATATAATAATAATAATTAAAAATATATATATATACTGGTAAATGATTTCGATTCTTCGTATGTAAAAAGCCCATAGTTGACTATAATCGTTCAACTGAAGCTGAATTGATACAAATACCAAAGAGTCGTAATGCTAATTGAGATAATTCTGGCGCTAAGCCCTTTGCTATTTCCCAAAAATCAACTATATTTTCACCAAACTGATGGTATACTTCTTTATTAAAAGGAAAATCCTTTTTCTGATATGATAAAAATTTCCATAAAATTCGAGTGGGTGTTTTTCCAAACCATACATAATAATAGTAATTTAACTATTGAGCGAAATGCATATAAGAAAGACCGGATGTATTGGGAGAAAACTTAGAAAATCGATATTTTGGGTGTAAAGTTAATGATAGTAAAAGTAAAGGTTGTTCCCATTGAGACCACTGATTTTCTAAACGTGCTACCATGTGATCAGAAAAGTACTCATCCTTATAGTTTGCAAAAACCTTAATGATTCAGCCAAAACAATGTACGATCTCATGCAGTCTTGCAACATCTTTCTGAAGTTTGTTTAATATACTACACAAGGGAAATAACAAATCTTGAAGTTCATAGAGCTGATTCCAAAAATTGGGGTCTTGAAGAATTAATATAATATCATATGGAAGTGTCTTGCTTGTATTATTGTTATCTTCAGATATAAATCATTGTCTTGAATGTCTGCTTCGAGAGGTGCTAGTTGTTCTAATTCTTACGGGCGAAAGTTTAGTGGCTAATATCTAATTATATAAAATTTTGTTATTACAATCAGCAAATATACTGCTTATTTTTGCAAAATAATGCACAAGGCATTATTTCGCGAAAATACAGTACAAATTTTTTCTTTAATCAATGTTACTTATTAATTACTTTAAGTGTGGCTTCACTTTTTAATACAGAATGAAAGCAAAAGTAGAAACTATTCTATCGTGTCTCAGCTGGAGTGACAAGAGAAATAGTTTGTTTATAACATGATATTTGTTTGTTCCGTAATAAGCCTGTAAAATACATTGATGAATGAAAAAAACTAACAATGCGTATTGCATTTTTTGATATTTTTTTGTATGCATCAGATTCTTTGAAAATTTCTCCAACAACCAAGTTAATCTGATGTGCCATATAAGGCACAAAAACTTTATCAGAATATTCAATTCTTAGTTACCGTCTAAAAAGAAAAAAAAAAAAAAATTAGATTATCTAATGTTTTAAAAATATATATACTTAATAATTGCTTAAAATTACCTTGCAGCTGCATATTCACCAGCAGAATCTGACATGTAACAATTTATTTTTATGCCTTTTTCTTCTGCATTATTCATTATGTTTTTAATATGAAGTTTTGCATTCTCGGTCATTGATCGCTGATTACTTATATTGCTCGCATTCCAGATCAAAGGTTTATCCCCAAAAAGTTATTAAAACTACACCAAACAGATGCTCTCTATTGATATTTGTCTAGCTGTCAAAAGCTGCAGTTACCCCAATTTTATCCACGCATGCTTTTTGTAAAATTTTTTCCGTTATATTCACTGATATTTTTGAAAGAATTCGGTCGCTAATTGCACGCCTATTAGGTAGCTTTAGAGTTGGCATCATAAAATTAAAAATATTTTACATTTCTTGGTTCTCCATAAAGGTAAAGGGGAGGCTATTTGATACTATTATTCGTAGTACTAAATTCTCAAAGTGCAATTTATCATTATCAGAAAGTGGGCGTAAAACGTAATTAGCAAGCGTTGTTTGCTTTTTTATTTGTGATGCAGTATTGGCAGATGTTAATGTATTGGAAATTTCATCTTCGGATTCAGTGTCGACTTTGGCTATTATAATTTTATTGAAAATAATCATTATATTGCATAGACAAATGTTCAAACATATGACTAATATTACCTTTTTTACCCTTTTTTTTAGCATCTTCAGGAACCGGTCGCGAGAGAATTTCCAGAACTTCATCCTCATTGTAATCTGCTTTAAAATTTTCACAACTTTGAAGATGACTACGACACAACTTCGCCTTATTAGAAACAAAGCACTCAGGCTTTGTGAGGGCAACAGGTAAAGTATATCTTCGAATGCATGAAAGGCAAACTGCTTTTTTATTTGCTTTTGGGTTATTAGGCTCGGCCAAATGAAAATACTTCCGAAAATTATGCTTTTTTTTACCTATTGTAAAGTTTGACATAAAAATATCTAATATATTATTTACGTTATTTACGAATATTTTGCATAAAATAGCACGAATATATCCTATATATATTGTACTAGGATTAGAGGCGAAAAACTCTTTTTACTAAATAATGATAACCATACAGTACCTGTTTTTTTTTTTTATTGTTATCAAACAAGTATCAGTTGTCGCCTATTATGTAATGTTTCTTTAATGTTCACATATTTAACATTATTTTCATAAGCTAATACTCAGTAGTGTTGTTTCAATAATATGATTTTCAAACGTGCAAATTTGTTTTTGTACGATACAAGAAAACACAAGAAAAATACAAGAAAAATACAAGAATTAAAAAATGATTGTTCTGGCCCTAATTTATTTGCATCGATAAAATATTAATTACTTAAATAAATATCGTCTTATTTTAATGAAATTAGTACAGTAGTATTAATACTCACATTGACATTTCTACTTTGCGCAATTTATCTCTGCACTTTTATTCTCATACTAACAATATCTTTTCGCCAACTTTCTTTGATACTTTATTATTCAACTTTATATTTGACATATTTTGGATTGGGTAAAGAATTAATCTCTTACTAATCACGATACCCCTTTTAATATGATACGTATGTACGTACGGTAGAGATTCGAATTTCCCTATTAGTTTTATCCCCAAAATATGAGTCATTTTCTTTATTTAAAATAAATAACTTCTATTTTTGTATAATATATTAAATGCTAGATTTTTTCAGGTAGAAACTTGTTCGTGCACAAATGATTGACCACTTTTGATCCTATGTTAACGTGTAATATGTAACGTACTAACCGATACCTGATTATCGTCATATTACACAAGCCAAACGCTATGTAGAATGACCAATGACCATGATGACCATGGTCATTTGTAAATGACCAGTGTCATTTGGTCATGAGTCATTTGCAAATGATCAAAATTTAAATGATCAAAAATGACCGGTCATTTAAGAGTCATTTTAGGTCATTTAAAAAATAATCAAATAACCTGATCATTTACCATCTCTGCTTTTAGGTTATTACATACCTATAGTAACTAAAGAAAGTGAGTTTTAGAAACTTAGATGCAACTAAACTCTTGGATACCTTATAGAGTTTAAACAACTTTACCTTGAACATATGACTTGCATATATATATATTCTTGTAGATTATTAGCTTGGATAATACTTATACCCAACTCCATTGTAGATATGGACTCAAAACATTATAGACATTACTTTGAATATTCTATTTTATTTTATTTAACTAAAGACAGTTTGTTACTTCTGTGTAAAAGTGATTGAAGGTTAGCTAGCTTTACTCTATTTCAAAAGCCTTAAAGATTATTACAGATTTATCAAAAACAGTTTGCTGCTTCTAAGCAAAAGTAAGCTGATAGTGAGAATGTCTCTGCCCTTTGCAAAAAACTATTGCATGAAAAGACTTACAGTTTGTCAATTCTGAGTAAGATATGACTAGTAGTTTTTATATTATTATTTCTCAAAAACATAGTGAAATTTTAATTTAATTTATCAAGCTGGAAAGATTCAATCAAGTACCCTTGAACATTAATGTTTAGAAAGTTCAACTACGTATATATTAATAAAAAACTTTAGATTTAATTTCTTTTAGAAACAGATTCTCTACAATACCCAAATGAAACATACTTGGATGACAATAACAATAACAAATAGATAGCTTACAGTTTACTGCAACTCTATAGAATAAATAATACTCTGATAGTGAAGTATACTCTATGAGCTAAATTAAGTAGGTATAAAAATACAACTAAAGCTTGCAACTTACTGCAACTCTACAGGAGGATAAATACTCTGCTAGTGAAGGATTCCCCAAGAGCCAAATATATAAGCATAAGGACCTAATGAAATTTTGGAAATAGAAATTACAAATTAATATTTTTAATTACTTAGAAAATACTACAATATCTACAACAAACTTTTGCATCTCTAA